CCTGCACGCCCACCTCCCCGGCCCCTGTCTCCAAGGCCCCCTCCAGCTCTCTGCCCCCGTCGCTTCTCGGGAGCCTTAGCCGACAGTCCACACCGGGTTGGCAGGTCTCCCCTAGTCACCCGGCCGGGGCTGACCGTGTCAGGGCCTGGACGAAGTGGGCGCTGCACCCCCTTTGGGACCGGAGACGTGGGCCGGCCCCTGGCCACTCCGCCTCCCGCACGCATGCAGTAGGTGCTCCGTAAGTGCCCGCCACCGCGCCCACCGACCGCCCCTCTCGCCGCCCCACTCACCCCGCCATGGACGCCAGCCCGCTCCACACACCGGAAGTGCCGGCCTTACTTCCGGTCCGAGGCCACGCCCCCGGAAGCGGCTCGCGGATTCGGAAAGCGCGCGCGGAACCCGGGACCAGGTGAGTGCGGGAGCGAGAGACCGGGTGCGCGAGGAGCCAGGCCACCGGAGGTGGGCCTGGGGCCGGGAGGGGGCGCACTGGGAGGGGCTGCCGGAGAACCTGCATCCACCAGGGCCCCGAGAGCGGAGCCCAGCCCGGCGCTGCACTGTGTGTTGTCCCTTTCAGCCCTGTGACGCGCTTCACGTGACAGGTGGCTCCGTCAGGGGCCGCTCGGCTGACCAGGGGGCTGCCCAGCCCTGCTGCCAGCCTCCCAGCCCCTGGCGTTCGGTGGGCTCCCTGAGGACCAGCCTGATTGCGGTGCCAGCTAGACTCCAACGTCCGGCAGACCCACGCCTGGGCGCCGGCTCCGCTCTTGGGCCTTGAGTCTCTGAGCTTCAGATTCCTCGGCAGGTCTCAGCGCACAGCGTTGTTGGGTCTATTAAATGGGGTGATTTTGGGAAAGATGTATCCGATCCGTGCTTAACAAGTGACAGCTGGTGTTCCCCGCAGCCTCATCTCCGTGACAGCTGACTTAGGAAGCCAGGGCTTTGGGCGTGAACGTGTCGGCGACAGGACAGAGTCCCTGAAGGGAGGTTCAGCCTCCGAGACCTGCTTCTCCTGCCTGACCCACCCCCACCACCAGGACCCAGCCATAGGGCCCCCTTCTCAGACACTGCAGCCTCCCGGGCTCTGGGTCCTGCCTCTCACCCAGTGTGGGCCCCAGAGGAGGAGACTTGTGTTCAGGGGGCCCCAGACTGGGAAGGGGTTCTGCAGGGAACTTGGTCCTGGTCCTCCAGCATCGAGCAGACATCACCCACACAGTCTCTCTCTGGACCACGCACACCCATTCGAGCAGGAGGGGCCTTTGTGGCTCCAAGGCCCACCCTGAGTGCCAGGTCGCAGAGCAGCAACAGTCGTGAGCAGAGTGTGAACAGCTGTCACAGGAGGGGGATTTAGCCAGGCCTCACTGGGTGGACTGTCCGCTGTCAGGAGCTATGCATTGCTTGGGAATCTGGGGATCTGCTATCGCAGAGAGGCAGAAACCAGATCCCAACAGGCCAGAAGGCCCTGTAATAAAAAGGCCAAAGCCAAAAACCTGACCCAAGAACCGTTGGGTAAACTGCACAGTTGGGCACGGGGGAGTAGACACAGGAACACGAACGACCCCAGGCTAAGGAGTGGGAAAGGGAAGATGTGAACATCACCCTACCTGCTGCTTCAGCCCGGCAGGTGGCCTGGCTCTCCTACCCCAGAAAATCTGCCATACGGGGCAGAGCTGGGATGTTACCCCTCCCTGCCTTCCAGAGTACATTTCCAGTCCACCTGGCCTCTGGCCACCACAGTTCACAGGCTTCCATCCACACCCCACCCGCGCCCAAATCAAGCTGACCCAGCCCTTGCCTTCCTCAGAACCCAAGGGCACCATGGGCGCCTCCAGGCTCTACACCTTGGTCCTGGTGCTGCAGCCTCAGCGAATTCTCCTGGGCATGAAGAAACGAGGCTTTGGGGCCGGCCGGTGGAACGGCTTTGGGGGCAAGGTTCAAGAAGGAGAGACCATCGAGGATGGAGCCAAGAGGTAAGAGGAGGGGCAGGCCTGCCCGCAGAACCAGCCTCTGCAGGGGATGGGGATTCAGGTGCAGAGCCAGGCCCCTGATTCTACCACTGAGAGCCACATGACCTGGAGCTCGTACTAAACCCTCAAGCCTCAGTTTCTTCATCTGCAAAGTGGGAATAATAATAGTACCCACCTCTTAGGATCGTGGTGAAGGTTAAATGAGAATATGCACATAAAGGACTGGAACGGGGCCTGGCACATGGCCTGTGCTGAGTTACCTGCTGCTGCATGGTGGTGGGTTTTAGGACGTATTTGGGAAGCTGCTGTGAGGTGGCTCAGGTTGAAAAGTCTGGCCTTCCTTTTTCTAGCCAAGGGGCTGGCCGATTCCTCAGCTTCTTCGTTTGTCGGGGAAACTGATGATGAGCAGATCTGGAACCTCTCACACACAGTCTCGGTTCATCCTTGACACAACCACTTTCCCATGGGAAGGAACTGAGGCCCAGAGAGGTTGAGCAGCATGCCTGAGGTCACACAGCCCTCCCGACTTCAGCTGCTTTGCCTTTCCCCTCACGAGCTTGTATGGGTAAATCCAACCTTCTGTGTCATCCACTGAGCTCCACAGGGTGTGGCCTCGCCCCCCCTCCCATCCCTGCCCCTCAGACACCCCAGGCTGTTGCTGCCCACCCACTCTTCCTCTGGCTGACCTTGTCAGCCTTCACAGCCGAGCAGGCTCACCTCCGCCAGCTCTTCCCGATAAACCCCCTCCCTGGGTTTCCTTCACAGAACTCCCACCTTTCTGGTCACACCTGGTTATTCCCTCCATCCGACATTCCCCCAGGGGTGCTCGTGAGGCCGGAACTGAAGACATTTTATTTTCTAAGTCAAGCCTGTATTGAAGCATAAAGTGCATACAGGAAAATGCCAGTCTTCATCAGGAAAGTTTTAAGAAATGGGCCCATCACTTAACCAGCCCTTACATCAACACGTGGGGCTGGAAGGTGGATCCTAACCCCCTGGAGGGCAGCCTGCCGCCCGACTTCCGTCACAGTTGGCGGTTTGGCCTGTTCTGAAATACCACGCAGACCATGCCCTTTGCTGCCGGCTTCTTCCCAGCATCACATCTGCCTGCGGCAGTGGTCCAGCCCCGCCCGTGAGCACCCTGCAGCTCGCACACCCCGCCCCAGGGCACTGGGGCTGCTTCCGGTCTGGAGTCTCGAGTGGGGCCACTGTGGACGGTCCTGCACAGCCTTTTCTGGCGGGCGCTCCCCTTGGAGGAGAATCAGAGACGTTCAGCCTCAGCAGATGTTGCCAACAGGTTTCCAGAACGGAGTGTGAGTTCCGCTCCCTCCAGATCCGCAGCAGCACTTGGCATCTCCTGTCTCTTTCACGCTAGCCGTGCCGGTAGGTGTGACGATGCCTCGCTGAGGCTTCATGTGTTTGCCCCAGTGACTGATGAGCCAGCCAGCCACCCGCTCAGGGTCTGTGCGGCGCTTGGGCGTCTGTTTCTGCCAAGGCCCGCTCAAGTCTTTTGCCCGGTCTGTTAATCCGGGTGCCTTTTTCTTACTGCTTTGTAGTTCTTCGCATATTTCACTGTGTCCTTACTGAATTCCTGCTTGAAGTCTCCAGCTATGACAGCAGATTCATCTGTTTTCCTGGCAGTTACACTAAATTTTGCCTCACTATTTTGATGCTGCTTTTAGTTGCATACATGTTAAGGGTTACGTCCGGGAGAACTCCTTTATCGCTTTGGGATGTCCCTCTTAGGGATAAAGATAACTTTCCTTGCTTTGAAATCTGCTTGGTCTGAAGTTACTACAGCTTCTGCTCCTTTCTTTTGATTAGTGTTAGCCTGGTGTATTTTCCTCCACTGATACACTTTTTTTTTTAATAGTTTCTCTTTCTTGGTTCCTTGGTAGGGGGAGGTAATTAGCTTGCTTGCTTGTTTGAATGGAGGTACTAGGGACCAAACCCAGGACCTTGTGCATGCTAAGCACGCACTCTACCACTGAGCTCTACCCTCCCCACCAATTTATGTTTAATCTATACCTTTTGATCTTTGTACTTTCAACCTTTATATTCAAAGTGAATTTCTTATAGACTGCTTAGAGTTGGGTCTTGTTTTTGATCCAGTCTGACAATCTCTGTCTTTGAATTGGAGCGTTTAGACCACTAACAAAGTGATTATTAATGTAGCTGGGTTGGTATCTACCATAATCACCACTGTTTTCTGTTTGTTGTCCTGGTTCTTTTTTCCTGCTTTTGTCTTCCTCTTTTTCCTCCTTTTGGCGTTTTAATTGAACATTTCACACGATTCCATTTTCTCTCCTTTAGCATATCAGTTGTACTCCTTTTTTTTTTTAACCTTTTTTAGTGGTTGCCCTAGAGTAAGTCTAATTTTAGTTTTCTGAGGACTCTCCACACTGTTCCCCACAGTGGCTGCACCAAACTGCACTCCCACCTGCAGTGCAGGAGCGCTCCCTTGTCTGCACAGCCTCTCCAGCGTTTCTCATTTGTGAACTTTTGGATGGTGGCCATTCTGCCTGGTGGGAGGTGATGCCTCGTAGTTCTGATTTGCATTTCTCTGATAATTAGCGATACTGAGCATTTTTTCGTGTGCCTGTTGGACATGTGTATGTCTTCATTGGAGAACGCTTGTTTAGGTCTTTGCCCATTTTTGGACTGGGTTGTCGTGGTTTGTTTATGGACTCCTCGCCCTGTTTTGCGTCTGCCATCTGAGGACCATCACAGAGGTGCAGTCCGACACATTAGCAAGACTGGAGCAGCGTCACCTCAGCTGCCTAATTATCCCGACCCATGAAACGGAGCCCCGGCTCTGCCACCAAGCAGGTTATTGATATTTCATACACCGCCACGGACTCGGGGACGATTAACCGAAATTAGTCAAAACATGAGATCAGTGAAGTTTTTAAAAAACCAAGATCCGCCAGCCTGCTGCCTGAGATGTGGGGGAGGCCCTGCTGAGGGCTTGCATTACATTTAATTAGGGAGCCATTTGCACCCCCCAAGTAAAAACACACATTCTTTTTTTTATTTTGGTCATGTCTAATGTAAATTAACCATCTCAGTGAATAAATTCTGGGTTTCAAAACATCACTTGGCAGTGGATGGACACATTCCTCTCCCTCTTGGGCCTCACAGGAAGGTCAGGGCAGATTCCAGGTTCAGGGAGGCATCCACTTAAATAAGACCATTTAACCCAGCCCGCTTATTTAATGAACAGAGCATTTCCCAGCTCCTCCTCACAGGCACAGGAAGTCATGCATTGTGTTCCTAACGCAACTTGGAGATCAAAGCTGAAAATAACGTGTTTTTTTTTTCACGTACTCTAAATGGACAGACATAATTAGAACACTTTTACAGCAACAAAAATAAATATAGGGCAGTGGGGAAGTGAGACTGTAACGGGAGACACAGACGCTGAGCCTCACACGTGCAGGGCTCGTGGGTCCCCAGGGTCCTGAGCGAGCAGGCCTTCCAGAGCAAGGCGCGTGCAGCTGGGCGGTGAGGGCTGGGGGCACAGGGTGTGTGCGGTGTGCTCGCCACAGCAGGCTGGGGATGGGCTGCGTGGGGTTTCACTTTGATGCACAGCAGTCGCGGAGCTGGCTGTGTTCCTGCAGTGCTGTGTGGGAAGCATGGGTGTACGTATGTGTGATGTGTCTGCAGTGTTTAAAAGGGACGCACAAAGGAGAACGACCCCTTGGCCCTGGGCGCACGAGCGTGCTAATGGCTGCCTTCCTTCCACCACCCCACCCCCGCCCCAGGGAGCTGCAGGAAGAGAGTGGTCTGACCGTGGACGCGCTGCACAAGGTGGGCCGGATCGTGTTTGAGTTCGTGGGTGACCCTGAGCTGATGGACATGCACATCTTCTGCACGGACAGCATCCAGGGGACACCCGTGGAAAGCGACGGTGAGTCTCAGGGGCTGTCCCTTCACCAGGGCACGAGGGGGACCTGGGTGCAGAGCAGGCACTGGGCAACCCCTGCCCTCCCCTCCCGTCCCTGAGGGACAGGTGCTGGAGCACAGCAGCACCGCAGCCTCCCTCCTCCTCCGTGAAACAGTCGCAAGTATTAAATAGGGAAGCGTGTCAGGCTCCTTACACAGGGCCACTCAGTTAATGCTTCACAGGAAGCCAGTTACAGCCCAGACTGAACGTCAGTGACTGCCTTCTCACCCGCCACAGAAATGCGCCCCCAGTGGTTCCACCTGGACCAGATCCCCTTCGGTGACATGTGGCCTGATGACAGCTACTGGTTTCCCCTCCTGCTTCAAAAGAAGAAATTCCAGGGCTACTTCAAGTTCCAGGGTCACGACACCATCCTGGACTATACGCTCCACGAGGTGGACAGAGTCTAGGGCCGAGCCTGGCTCCTTGCAGAGCCAGGGCTTCCAGTCAGGCTGGAGCATGACCGATGGAAGGAAATGGACGTCTGACCTTTTTAGCGTCCTTCCCCGGGCCCCCCATGGGCAGCCAGGTCCCATCACCGGGAGCTGGCACACCTGCCCAGCTGTGACCTGAGACACCAGACACAGAGAGGGAGGAGACCCAGGCCCGAAGGGTGAGGGGACAGCTTCTCTGCCCACCCCAGGGTGGACAGCTGGTGTGGGAGGCCCGACGTTGGTGTGGGCGGGCCACGGGATCACGGGGGTGGCCTAGAGAGTGTGCCCCCTCCCACCAACCCCCACAGGGGACACGGGGGCCCAGCTGGGGTCCAGGGCTAAAACCCCATCTGTTACCCTCCCTCCCAGAGGATGGACGGTCACCAACCTCTCACACAAAGAAGCCACGACTTGACCCAACTTTTATAAATATGTTTAATAATAGTCGCTCACGTAAGTTCATTGATAAAAATCTCGGAACGTGGATGGTTTGTAAACAATGTTTCCTGGGTGTGGCGGTGACTAGTTCCTGCAGCCTCGTAAAGTGCTTCGTACATACACGACTCAGCCAAGCAAGGGGAACCTCCCGACAGCCCGGCTCCTGTCCCCACCTCCGCCTCCCTCCACCACTCCCGCCCTTCTTGCAGCGAGGTCGACCGAGTCGGACCCCGGACCCGAAGGCACACTCCCGCGGGCCAGGCCGCGGGCCAGGCTGAGGCAGCAGGGAGTCTCTCAGCCTCCTCGGACAGGGGAGCGGGATCCTCAGAGCAGCATGAAGGGCTCCCAACAGGGTAACGCGATTGGATGTCCCTTCATGGGGCTGCAGCACGTCGGCCCTCCCCAGCCAGCGGGAAGGACACAGGAGTGCGTGACCTCCGGCCCCTGTCATCCCAGGGCCTCCACCTCGGAGCTGGGAGCAGCCTCTTCTCCTCCCCCAGCAGACACTGAGCAGAAAACACCAGCCCCCGAGCCTGGCAATCTATGGCAGCCCAGGTTCAGGCAGAGGGGAGCTGTGCAGAAGTGCCGAATGGGGGGGACACGGCCTTGCCTACGTCACTCCGACATCTTCCCGATGCCCTTTCTCCAGAGCCCAGGGAGGTGGAGGGGACTAGAAAGCGCCCCCAGATAAGCCTCTGGCGGAAAAGGTCACTGGGGCTCCAGCCAAGAACTTGCTCCTAGTTTCCACCACAGGCAGATGCTGCCAGGAGCCAGCCCCAGGGTGCCGTTCTCTCCAGAAAAGCGCCTCTGAAGTCTCTGGGCCAGAGCGCTCCCCGGCAACCCACGTGGGGACGGAGGACACGGCTTAACCTGCCCTGGGAGATGCTCCCCCACCTTCCATGCTCCTGCCCCCTGTCCACCATGTGGCTCCCTCGACTCTGCTGTCCTGTGGCCTTGTGTTCCTCACCGCCCCCGGCCAGGCCCCCAGGTGAACCACACCGGCCGCAGGGCAGGGACAGCTTGCGTCCCTCACCGCCCCGGCCGGGCCCCCAGGTGAACCGCACCGGCCGCAGGGCAGGGACAGCTTGTGTCCCTCACCGCCACGGCCCGGCCCCCAGGTGAACCGCACCGGCCGCAGGGCAGGGACAGCAGAGCCCCTGGGGTCACTCTTTACAGTCCAGGCGAGGGGACCAGCCCCGCGGGGCAGCACAGAGCCACTCCAAGTGGGTGAGAGCCCATTTCTATGGAGAAAGAAGTGGCAGAAGATGCCCACAAAGGGACAAGGATCCCCGCGCCTCAGGCTCTGGGGGACGCAGCCAGGAGCCTAGCCAGCCCGGCACAGGAAGGCACGTGTTGGCCGTCAGGGGCCCAGGCGTCGCAGGGGTGCAGCTGGCCTCCCTGCATCCGTGTGGCTGCGAAGCTGGCACAGACAGACCCCACGTGAGGGGTGGGCCATGCCCTAGCTGGACACAGCTGTCCGGCTGGGCCCAAAAGACACCCGCTTTCCCTGTAACATGTGTTAGCTCATCAGAGAAGCCTCCCTGTCACCAGAGCCCCTGGGTCCTGCGTGACCAACAGCAAAGCCCCAGAATCAGGCACGTATTCCTGGAGAGCAGGGATCTCAGAAATCTATGTGCAGTCAAGCTCCTCCAACCTCTGTCCCGAGCCAAAGAGAACAGCGAAGGGCAGAGGGGCCACCTGGTCCCGGGCCCCGCTTATACGACTCGGATTCAGAGCAGAAAACACGCAGGCCCCAGGCAGGCACTAACCCCACAGCTCCGGATGGCCAGCCCCACGGCACCCTCTGGGAGGATGGGAGGGGGGCCTGGGAGAAGGGTCTGAGTTGCCAAAAAGGAGTGAAGCCAGTTTGAGAAAGGGTTAAAAGTAACACCGATCCGTCCTCCAGGGCGCCAGCTGGACGACACCCCCCAGTGCCCCACCAGCCTCAAAGCTCCAAAGGAGGGGGCTGCACAGACAGACAGAGCCAGCTCAGAAGCAGCAGCTCACAAACCTCCAGATCCCTGGGTCCCGCCTTCGTCTTCCACACCTCGGACCAGCCCGCACAGCGCGGGGGCACAGAGCGTGAGCGTGCACAGGTCGGGGGGTGGTGCACAGACACTGCCTGGAGGTTAGTCCCAGACCAGGGCACCAGGGCACTTAGCGGGGCTGGTCCCTGGAACGACCCTCGGGCCCCCACCTCCCCCACCCACTCCCCTGAGGGCTCATTCCCACCTCAGCCCCCCAAGGCTGTCCGTGGGCCGGAGTCAAAGGTCTCGCTGACCAACTGCGTGTCAGAGATGTGGCCACCTCCTTGTCCCACACAGCAGGCCGGCCTCAAGGACAGTCCTGCCCCGCCGTGGAGTTTCAGCCTCCCTCTCCCCGCTCAGCTATTCCAGATGTCCGAGGACTATTCTGGCCCAGGGAGTTCCGCTGCCCATACCCCCAGGCACCGTCTGCCGCGTGAACCCCACCGGCCACCTTGTCCTCTTGGAATCAGGACAAAACCACTCCAGAGGCTCTACAGGGCTGGCACCCCAGACTAACAGACCACGGCAGGGTGTCGGGAGGGACGGGCGTGGTCAGGGCGACCAGGCAGACATCGAGGGCCCTGGCTTCCGTGGGCGTGTCCTCGGCCCTGCTCCCCACGAGGGGCAGCAGCTCTTCTAAGGGGGCTTCGGCCGACCACGGGCCCGCTGGTGGTGGGGCAGCCAAAGGGAATTAGACAGGGACACACCGTTTGGAAAGAAGTTTTAGTAAGGGCGCCGGAGCTGCCGCCGAGTCCCCCGGCGCTAGTGCGGAGGCAGGCCGTCCTGAGGGGGCGGGGAGCCGTGCGGGCCAGCGAAGAGGCAGCGCAGCTTGGGCTGCAGGTCATTCCACACCTTGCTCATCTGAGGAGGAGAGAGGACAGACAGGTGAGAACACAGCGGCCGCCCACGCCCAGACACACCAGCTCCTTCTAAAGCACCAGCTCCTTCTAAAGTGCCTGCAGGAGACACTGTGGGGCAGCCGCACTGGCTAGATGTCATCCCCTTCCCAAGCTGCCGGAGTGAGGGCCGGCGGGACACGGTGGCCCACTCCCCTAGACAAGCCAGGTATGGGTGGGCCTGACCCAAAGGTCACAGCGCCGGTCCCCCCCGCCCCCACACGTGGACATGGACAGAAGGGGCCCAGGGCTGCTCGCCCCGGAATTTTAAGCAACGTTATGGCTGGGTCACTCCCTCTAACAGCCCTTCAGGTGACAGAAAGGAGGGAGGTGAGAGCAGGCACTGGGTGGCCAGGAGGAGGGGGCGGTGTCCCGGACCCCTGCTGAGGGCAGGGCAGCTCACGTGACAACAGAAGGCGGTGTGGTCCTGGGAATGCATGGATGCAGCAGAGTCTGGGAGGTCGGGGCCCAGCAAGACACCCACGGTGGGGAAGCCCAGGATCAAGTCAGGACACACCTCCACCCCTTCTGCTGTCACCCAACCCTCCCTGGTATCCCCAGCCAGCGGACCTCCCTGAGGGGGCCAACCATCGCAGTCTGACCTCCTCCCGCCCTGGCTGCACCTGCAGTTCCCCTGGCCACCCCAGCGCACTCTGGGGGCACCACAGACTCTGAGAAACGTTCGCAGGAGACAGAGTTTGTCACACAGTACACAGACCACTGCTGTGAAGCTGTCTAGAGCTAAGTACCTAACGAACAGACGTGTTTAAAAAGTTATTCAGCCTAGGGGGTGCCGCGAAAAGTGACTGAGGCACTGAAAGCACCAGGAAAGTACAGGAGTTTGTCTCAGGCCGTCAGCGTTCCTCCCGTCATCTGGTGGTTCTTCCATCCCCCACTGGGGTCCCACAAAGGCACAGATTCCTGAGCCCCAGCCCCAGATTCTGGCTTCATCTGAGGTGGGATCCATGCCCCGTGATCCGCATGTTGAACAGACCCCAGGAGGTTCCGGCACCTCTGGTTCTAGACCAGGGTCTGGACGGGCCCTGACCTGGTCAGTCACAACCGCCTCCCGACTGGATATACAACCCCCACCTTCCGCCCCTTAGCCCACACGCCCAGCCACTGCCAGGGACCCTTCTGGACCTTGGGTCTGAGCTCGCTCCATGCGCCGCTTGCTCACCAAAAGCTCACTGGCCCTCCAGACAGAGCTGCCAGCTTCCCAGGCTACAGGCCTTCATCAGAGCAAGGGAAGCCTGTCCCCTCCGGCTGGCCAACCTGCCGGGTCCCCACTGGTCTCCACGGCCCCCAGTAACGGGGCCACTGAGCTGCAGCTGTGTGCCCCGCACAGCCAGGGCCTGGGAGGGAGACACCGCCAAGCAGCCCCTCACCCTCAAGTCCCCAAGCCGGCCTTGGAAGGCTGGGGGTTGTGCTTTATGCCATTTTTCAGGTAGGGAAACTGGCCCCCGAGGTTCAACGGCCCAGCAGGGCTGTAAGAGCTCGCAGCTGCAGCACAGCTGGGAGCTCAGGCGGCTGGGACCTGGGGCTTAAGAATCCTGACCCTGAGCTCCCCACGCTGTGTCAAGGAGTCAGACGTGGCCCCCCACAGACGTGTCCCTTATAAGGAGTGCCTGTGCTCGCAGGGCCGAGGAGGAGTCCGGGACACAGGGCGTCAGAGACCAGGAGGGGGTGGGAGCTGTGGCGAGGACACGGGCAGGGACCGCTCCCCAAGCGTCTCCTCAGCTCGGCCGGACACAGCGTCCTGGGCGCCTGGAGACAGACACACATGTCACTGAGCAGAGTGAGCAGAGAGCCAAAGCACAAGCTGGAGTGCATGGCGGAGACGAGCGGGGCCAGGCTGTCACCACAGGGGCTCCAGGCAGTCACAGCACCTCTCAGGGGCTCAGCGGACCCTCTGGAGGAAGCTGACCGTGGTCTTCAGGGAGACACCCCAACTTCCGCAGACTGGTGCTCAGTCTCTTCTCTCCATTCCTGGGGTTCTCTGTGCTTTGCCTCTTCCGGAACTCCTCCAGAAGCCAAGAAAGTCCTCCTTCATGGTCCTGCTCTGCGCCCCACCACCAGCTTCACAGTTACCGTCTACCCGGACGGGAACCGTGTTAAGCCCAGCTCACCGCACCTGCACGGATCTCCTAAGGGACCCTTCAAGGTGAGCAGCAGGGCCGCTGCAGCAAGAAAGGCACCGGCCTGAATGCAGGCGAAGGGGGACCCACCTCCTTGTGCCCTTGGATCTGGGAGTTGACGAAGGCCCCGAGGATGTGGGAGGTGAGGGGCAGGTAGACGTGCACCAGCTGCGTCTCCTGGTGCAGGCAGTACAGGGAGAAGTAGTTCCGAAGCTCCATCGTCTGGATCACGCTCTCCTGCTGCAGAGCAAAGAGCCTCCCTGGCACCCAGCACGGTGACAGTGGGACCGCAGGCCACCTCCCTCCTGAGCGCTGGGCCCGGCCCGTCCCCCGTGTCTGTCACAGCGGATTTGGCTACACCAGCTCGTCACTCGGTGCTCAGGCACCCGCGTCCTAGAAGCCCACGGGGACAAGCACAGGATGCCCAGGGGATGGCCCGGGTCCAGCCTGCAGGTGTGGGAAGGGCCCTGCCCGCCCCCCATGCGGACCCCGGGCGCCGGCCCACCTCCACGATGCGGGACTCCAGCTGCTCCACCGACTCGGGCTCGCGGTTGTGCGCGGCGGCGCTCATCACCTGCCGCTTCATCAGGCTGTACTTGTGCAGCGCCCGCTGGTGCTTGTGCAGCACGCCCTTCTCGTGCCGCTCACACAGGTCCTGCGGGCGGGGGCGGGGGGGGTCAGCCCAGGGGCCAGGGCACCCGGACGGACTCACCGCCCGCGGCCTCCCCGTCGGGGTAGGATGGCTTTCCCGCCTTAGAAACAGCTCACGGGCACCCACTCGCTCCACTCGGTGTTTGCACGATGGAGCCGCCCAGGGCCCAACCGTGAGGTGTTTGCTGTGCGAATCGGCACCACAGCCAGAAACCCACGGGAAACCACAGGAAACAGGCTTCGCTTAAGGGGAAAACGGACAGTGCAGAGCGCTGGGGCAGCTCTGGGCCTCAGCAGCAAACACCAGAAAGTCTCCAAAAGGAAGACACACTGACGTTTTCCTGGAGGCCTGAAATAACCCTAATCAGAAATCCGTGGGAATGTCAGCAGCAGAATCGCAGGGCTGGGGGAGGGTTATGCTCAGCAGGAAAGCACGTGCTTAGCACGCACGAGGTCCTGGGTTCAATCCCCAGTCCCTCCACTAAAGAGTAAAATTAAAAACTACTTAAAAAATACATAAAGAAACTTAATCACCCCCTCCCCCCACCCAAAAAAGAATCACAGGGCTGTGACTTTAGAGGCCACCTGGCTACCATCTCACTGGAGAGGAGTCCCTTCTAGAACCTTCCCCACCAGCGCTTGGCCAGCTCTCTGAGCTCAGCATGAAGGACACTTGGGCCCCACAGGCAACCCACCCCACCCCTACACGGAGCTGAGGTCTGACGTCCCAGAACCTCCACCCACTGGAGAGGCCGGCTCCCTCTTCTCGGGCCAGCCCCTTGGTATTTACCGAGAGCTGTAAGAGTCACACTTACACACACGCTCACCCCTCTGCTCTCCCAGCGGGGAAGCCAGAGGCCATCCACACGCCTGCTGGAGCCCCAGGCCGCAGCTCCCTGCAGAGCCCACTCAGGGGAGCCTGTAGAGGGCCCAGCCGCCCTCTGCCACCCTGGCTCCATTCCCCTCCAGTCACATCCTTGAAAGGTCACAGGATCCTTCTCGAAAGCTATGTTCCTGATGGAGGAGCAGCCAAGACTCACTTTATAGGACTGAAGCAGATCCAGGAAGAGGTTCAGTTTCTCCACCACGTCGTTCTCTTCCTGTTTGCCCTGGAAAACACAGGGTGGGCTGGCCAACACCGAGCACACCGGATCCGAGGCCTGGCCAGAGACACAGCCGCAGGCTCTGCAGGGACACTCCACCCACACGACAGCCCGCCAAACATGAGGCCGAAGCCTCAGGCCCAGCAGGTGGCTGAGAATGAGGGTCAGCACCTGGTGGTGGCCCCCGACACAGTCCGCAGCCTGGCGGCCCCGCAGACAACAGAGCTGCTGAAGCTGTGAGCCGTTAGAGGGGGAGGGGAGGGAGGGTGTGCGGGGAACGAGGGGAGTCATCTCAGCTTCAGTCAGAGGGAGAGAAGCCAGCCCAGGAGGAGGCCGTGGGGAGAGCCTGCCGCTGTGGGGCTGAATGTGAAGCCGAGCTGCGCCATGTACACAAATTGCTGGTGCTCGGCTGACACAGGCGACGGGCCAGGCGGGCGCTCCTCCTGGGCCCTGCACACACCCCTGCACACAGGTCAAAGGGCCATGGCGAGCCCAGGGCGTCACGGGGGCAGCCCTGTTAGTGGAACGGGTGTTCCTGGTAATGACAGGTGAAGCCCTGCCCGGGGGGCACCCGTCACACACTGGGGACATGAACGTGACAGGGGCTTCCAGCAGCGGGAGCTCAGGATCGCACACACGCACGGACAAGCCGCGTGCACACAGCTGACCAACACAGATGCCGATGTTCACAGCTGCTCCCGGGCAGAAGGAGCCCGTGCCAAAGCCCTGGGCCCAGAGTCCGCGCTCCGGAGAGGCAGGCACCTGCCCTTGGTTGTAATGGCAACAGTCAGCGCTATGGTGCTTTCCCGGGAGCCCGACTAGGCTAACTCTGTGGTCCTGGCCATTTGAGGCAGTGGGGAAGCTCTAGCGCCCTCACATCCCTCAGCCACCAACGTGCGTCAAGCACCTCTCTGGCGTGTTTGCTGAGCACCTCTCCTGGGTGTTTGCTGAGCACCTGTCCTGGTGCTTGCTGAGCGCCTCTCTCCTGTGCAGCACCAGCTCCCTGGGGAAACCAAGCCCCTTCCGTAAACTCTAGAGCTCCAGCCACAGCAGAGAGTGAAAATCTCATCCCATAAACCGCCCATCAGACTTGGTGGGGAGAGTGCAGGCAGAGGGAGGCAGGAGACATAAAGGAAGGTCCAAGTTCAGTGAGGACACAAGCACTGGATGGGGAGCTGGGAGCCACCACTCAAGCTCTGCTACCTACGCGGGGGCCCCTGGGCCCTTCAGACCCACTGGGCTCGGAGGCGCCCCGCCCCACTCAACCCCACACCCAGAGCCAAGGTTCTAGAAAACAAGGTGAAAAGAGGACAGTATCAGGCGTGCTGCAGAACTTTAAGCTCAGAAAGGACAACGCCGGCCGGCCACAGGGGCCTGCTCCCCCCGACCAGGCCGGGGACACGGGAGCACGGAGGCTCCTCCCTGGTGTGCAGCACGGGGTCCCCTGCTCCTGCCATTTGTACCAGGTTCCGTTTCTGGTCCGACGCCATTCAAGAGCCTAAACCACCAGCACAGCACGTGTGCCTTTACAGGAAGCACACATCCTACCACCCCATAAGACACAGCCCCACCGTGAGCCTCACTCATCTGGCTGGGACGCAGTCATCCGGGTCTCCTGACAGGGCTGCGGGGCACAGAACCGGGACACACGAGGGCAGAACTAAGAGCCAGCCCTCGGATGCCTTCACCTGTACAGCAGGAGTGAAAGGGACCCCTCACCGGGACGGACGGAAGGCCTGTCACTCGTTCGTCTGATCAGCTTCGTGTTAAAACTACTAATTTCACATCAGCATAAAGACCACCAAGGACAAGGAGGAATATTCGGGACATGGCGCTTCTGCAGACATGACACTGCAAGGCAGCACTCGTGAGGAATCTAAGGCTTGGGGCTGGGAGGAACCTCAGAACACAAACTGCAGCGCGTCAGACGCCTGACAGCCCCCGTCTTCAAGGCAGAAGCAGCACCCGACCTGATGCAGAAAAGACGCTGCAAACGACGCCAGGCTTCCCATCCCGCTGGGCGCACTCCCGGGGTTACCTGTCCAAGAGGGAGCCGTGAACCCAGGGTGCAGGGCTCTGCAACAGAGCGGCTGCATTCGTGTGTTTCACAGACTGAGCTCTGAGTGCGGGGTCAAGGCTTAAACACAAAGGTTTTCAAGATCTAGTCCAGCCCCCTCGTTTCTAGTCACAGAGAAAAAGACGGGGACCAGAGCAGCCTGAGCAAGGACCCAGCACCAGACACAGGCCACCCCCCTCCACCCGGCCAGTCCTCTGACACCAGGCTCTGGGTCCTCCCACCGTGGAGATGCAGGCGCCTCCCAGACCTGGAGGTGGGCCGGACCCAGCGCCAATGCCGAGACACCAACCCTGCCCTACGCTCAGCTTCTCAAGGGAACCCACAGGCAGAGGGACCAGAGAGGAAGAAAACCCAAAGCCTTCCAGACCAGAAAGGCGTCAGATTCCCTTTTCAGCACCGAGAGTCATCCCACCCAGCGCCTGAGGGCCCTGCCTGGAGCCTGAAAAGCCCCCAGTTCCACCGCCGCAGGTCGCCCGTGGCTGGGGGCCTGCAGCTGGTTACCAAGGAGCTTCGAGTCTGAGACGGGCATCAAGGCCTCACAGTGACATCATTTTGAAGTATTTAAAACCACCTACCAGCAGCCTAAAGTCCACTTCCCCAAGAACAGGGAGCAAACGTCAAAATCATGGAGCGGTTTGGTAGCACAGAGCACCAGACAACCCTCCACCTGAGGCGAGCGCTGCGTCTGCAGATGAATCCCCAGCCAGGAGTCTGCGGGTTTCTACAGGCGGCACCCGCCGGGCAGCAGAAGCCCCTCCGAGGCTGACTGGGCACCCGGGGTGAGCGGCGGCGGGAGTCTCCCAGGCGCTGGGAGCTCATTCGTTCGGATGAGTTGTCAAGTGGCCGAGTACCAGCTGACTTGAGCAGCAAAACGGAAACTTCCTGGTCCACCCAGAAGCATCCTGGGACATCCAACACTGGATTTTCAAGGACAGATCACGTCTTCTAATCTCAGCAAAGTCAACGCCCAAGAGACCAGAACCCAATGGGTCTCTGTCATCGGTGACCCTCTGAAGAGTGTAAGTAGCTCGCGGGACGCCACCCAGAACAGATGGGGACACACGGTTCCGACCTGAGAGCAGCTGTCCACTCACTCGAGACTCTAAATACCGACGGCCACCCCGGAAGGAGCCTCTCCCACGTGCCAAGGGGCACAGGACATTCTCGGAGCAGGTGCCACAGAGAACAGACCCACTCACCTGCTGCGCAGCCTTGTCGGCGAGCAGTGCAAATTCAACGGACAGGCCTCTCAGCGCCTGCTTGAGGGACCCCCACGTGCTGCTGCTCAGAGCGGCCCAGGAGGGGAGCGGCGTCGTGTCAGACCCTAAAGTGCTGAGCGCAAAGGAACACGGGGGGCGGAGACACTCAGGCCGGGCGGCCGGCGGGCAGCCCACCCGACACGCCTCTGCCTGACACGAGCCACTCAGGGCGGCCTGCGCGGCTCTGAGCCAGGCCCTGCTGCTCAGAGGGCGGGCCACAGCAGGCCTGGGAGCTCCCCTGCCAGGACCCGGAACCAACGCTGTCAACGAGGCCCCTGGGGACGTGTGCACAGTGGGCTTGGGACGCACAGTTCTAAGCGTGACCGGCCCCGGCGTCCTGTCCCGAGTCAGATGAACCTTTTCTCAGATCCCACCCTGACAACGGGGAAAACCCAGACGTTCAGGATCCCACGCTGCTCTGCCTACGCCCTCCACCTTGTCTCTTCCAGACGCCATCTCCTGTCTCCCCACACGCTCCTTCCCCCTGTGGAGCTGGTCACTGCACTTTCCACTCCAAGCCCCTGACCAAAGTCTAAAGACCCCTCCCCACCGAGCGGGGCCACCTGCCTCAGCTCCTTCCCGAACACGAGAAGGTCGGCAGCGCTGTCGATGGCCCGCGACACCATGCGCTCGGCCCGGTCACGAAGTTTGTAAAAGCTGTTGTAGACGTTGCGGATCAGCTCCCGGCTGATGGCGAACTGAGCCTGGATGTCCGCCGGGAGGAAGTCCTGACGGGTGGGGAGGGAGGAAAACTCTGGTTACCAGAAGCGAAATGCCTTCAGAAAAGACGACCCAGTGGAGAGGGGGGCGACGCCAACAGCTGAGCAGGGAAATGAGCCCAGGGCCCCAGGCCCCAGTCCCAGCCCAGCCCGCAAGCCCGCTTCTCTCTAGCACCTGCCCTGGACCCCCCTTCTCGTCCACAGAAGCAGCAGAAACGTCCACAGTACACACCACAAAGCGCGATCTTCACGCTCGAAACGGCAACGTGCAGGCCTGACTCCACGCACGGGGGCCTCTGACTGCCCTCGGCTGTTCCCGAGAGTAACTTCTCACCAGCGTCACTGCTACCTACCTACTGATGCTAACACTAACTACACAATGCTTGAAAACAAGCACCTTAGGGACTAAGGTGAAAACAAAAGCACATTTCTGCGGGGCAGCAGTGCAGCTCAGTGGCAGGGCGCAGGCTTAGCCTGCACAAGGTCCTGGGTTCACTCCCCAGCACCTCCATAAAGTAATAAATAAATAAATGAACCTAATCACCCCCCAAACAACATGAATTGTTCTAACGCGTTTGTTTGGAGAAGGAGCGTAAGAAAGAACTGCTTTTATAAGAGCCACCAAATAGCTGCTTTCATTCTTCTGAGAAAAAGACCATATTAAATAGATTTTAAAACAAACCAGAACATCAGTCCCCTGGAATCTGAAAAGCTGACGCCCACGCATGGGTCCATCTGAGTCATGAAACACCTCGGGACGTGGGGCAGGAGCCTGGAGGGCCCTGCGGGCGGGGCTCAGCCACGTGCGGGCCCTGCCGCCTAGACGCCTGGGGACCCTGGCAAGCGGCAGCCTGTCTGCGCTTGTTTCCTCTTCTGTACGACGGGCCTGGCACCTGCTGTTTCAGAGTGGTCTAAACCAGGGTTAAATGAGAAAAATGAGCACTGCACCTTAGCCTGGGCCCTGGCACGTGGTGGGGGCAAGCTAAACATCACCAGCTGTCGCCACAATTACTGCTCTGGCTCAGAGGAAGCGGTCATCCAGCTCAGGACTCTACCTTGGCCCGAGCGGCCAGCTTACAATTCACGAATTCGTCTCCCACGTACTGGGCGGACTCCTTCAGCTTGTTCTGCACATCCTGCAAAAGGGAGGGAGAAGCACGTGAGCCTCCTCCACCCGCCGCAGAAAAGCCGGCGTCAGACCAACCAAGTCGCCAGGAAGCGGGACGCCGCCCTCCCCGAGAGAACAGCGTCTCCCTGCGCAGGCTTCCACATGAGTGGTAACCTCTTCTCGTCTCCTGTTCCATTTTCCTCTCAGTGGCCTCAAGCTTGGGGTGGCGGGCTTTCCACAGACAGGAAGGCCCGAGGTCATGGCAGCACCGCCAGCTCCAGCGGGAAAACCTCTGCCCAGAAAAACGGGAACTCCAACTGCAGACCAGGGACACCAGTCCTCCAGATAGATATCAGGGTGATTACGTCCTGGTAGGGCCACGTGGGGCGCAGAGGCGGAGGCTGAGGTCTCTTCCTTCCGGTGGCTGGACCCGTGAGAACGGCGCCCCTGAGCCCGGGGAGAACGGGTGGGCAGAGGCAGGGCAGCACTCGGGGTCCCCAGCTCTGGCTCTGAGCCCTGCTCCCTGGAGGGAGGCTCCCTGGCAGCGCCACGCCCAGAGCTGAGGGCCCTACAGAGAGTGCAGGAAACCGAGGCAGAGAGCCTAACATGCAGCTGTGTAGGGTCAGGAGTTCCAGAATTTCAGGGATGCCTTTGAGAGTGTTTGTCCCAATTCTCTCATTTTACCAAAGAAGAAAACGGAGCTGGGGAAGCGCCGGGGACACCCTGCCTGCTGCCGCCGGCCCCCGCCTCCCTCCCCATCCTCGGGCCACGCCGAGCTCCCCCATCCCACCACGTTCCTCCACAGCTGTAAGGCGGGCTGTTCTGCAGAAACCTGCCCGCCCGAGGGTTCAAAAGACCCGTGCTCCCGGCTCAGAGGCAAGCATTCACCGAGTGTCTGGAATGGCCTCGCCAAAGGGGCAGCGCTGGCAGGCACCCCAGGCATCGCAGAGGGGCAGCCCACAGCCGGCTCTCGGGGTCAAAGGCCCTCGCAGCCTCCAGGAGCGGGGGGGAAGGGACAGACTCGTGCGGAGGCGGCCTCTGCGGCCTCCTGCGGCTGGGAGGTGGGAGCCGAGACCCCCCCCCACCAGGTGCCTGCTCAGAAGGGGGTTTCCTCCAACAGTGGAGACAGGACACGCCTATCTCACCGCAGGGCATCCTCGTGGGTGCCCCCTCCACCCGCCCCCAAAAGGAGGGTCCCTCCGGGAAACCTCTCTGCCCACGAAGAGCTTAGCCCTGGGACCCGGGGCCCCCACGCAGCATCTTGCTCTCAGCTGGGCACAAGGGCTGTGCCTTGGCTTCCTGACTCGTGGACGGCCTGACAGCAGCCTGGAGAGGGGAAGCCACAGCTCTGACTTCTCACAGGAGCCAGGGCCGGGGCAGAGCTCCCTCCCAGCACACGCATCCACCCCGCAGCTCTGCCAGGGAGAGTCAGCCGGTGCGCCCTGTGATACCGAACCAAAGCCAGCCTGGCCTTTAAACACCTGTTCACATCTGGAGTCTCCAGCTCATCTGCAAACCTCCAAACCACGGAGCCGTCTGCGCATTACCCTCAAACCCTCGTGGCTGTGCTGAGGAACACCACTTCCTCCCGGACGCACAAAGCCCAGAGAGCCAGACCAGGGATCCCCCTTATAGTCACACCCAACCTGTTCCCGGGGGAGAAAGTAAATCTCACGTAGACAGAGCCCACCAGGGCACCCAAACCAGGGGACTGAGAGAGGGAGGAATGGGAGACCATGAGACAAAAGCAAATTTCAGAATGAAGACAGGAGCCGGGAGCCTCAGGCCCAGCATCCGGACCAAGCGGGCGGCCGCCCGGGAGGTACTCACAGGGCCGGTGAAGGACAGGAACAGCTTGAGGACGACGTCCTCGGAGAAAGGGGGGTGCCGGGCCACCAGGTTGATGAAGCGTTTCAGCGCTCTCCGCCGGGCCTCTATGAACTCCCTGTCGGCTGAAGGCAGAGCCCGGAGTGACCTGGCGGGAACCCAGGGGACCTCCCGTGCTGAGGCCTCAAAGCCATGTGGTCTGGCCGAGACAGACCCAGAGGCCGCAGGACAAGGCGGGACACAGCCCCCCCCTGCCCCGCCCCCTGCAAGCAGCCCTGGGCTGGGGCTCTGCCGGGAACACCGAGGCGCCCGCTGGTTTGCTCAGCAGCACCGGGCCCCTCGCCGTGGTGTCTCTCAGTCGCAGGCTTCCACGACCCCGCCAACACTGCATGCTACAAACAAGTGGGTATGCAACCCTTGTACGGCCCCTCAGCCCAGTTCCCACTCACTCACTGCCACTCACCCTCTGCGTATGCTGACTGTGCAGTGAGGAGATTTAAATCTGACCACAGAGAAAAACAGTATTTAAAACACTGTCTTAAAACTACTGAAGAAAGAAAAGCCGGGTGAGGCTCCCTGCCCCTCAAGGCCGCCAGGAGTCCACCCATGGGGACCGCGCCACCATAAAAGCCAGAACACGCGGTCAGGCCTCGCACGGCGGCTGCCAGCTCCCACACCCTGCCTGTCCTCAGTCAGCCCTGATGCCCGGGCTCTGTGAGCGCCCACCCCACTCCCGAAACATCTCTGGCCCTCCGGCCCTGACATCCCTCCCCCCCTCCGGTGACACACTCTGCCCTGTGCGCACATGTGGGGCAAGGAGATGGTCACAGTGCCCGAGTCTGAGCTGGCCAGGGAGTGGTGAGGGCAAAGCTCTTCACGGTGGTTGGAAAATGGCAAAAACCCGACCTGCCGGCTCTGGGCGCTTGCCTTCCCATTAGGTTTTATTTGGAACTTGAGGCAAGGGCCGTGGGTGAGGGTCAAGAAGACCTGAGAGGAGGCTGTGGGCACCGCCCACTCCAGAAGCCCAGCAGAGACAGGCCAGCGCCACCCAGAGGCACCCGCGGCCCCTCACCTAGCCCCAGGTAACTGCAGGGGAAGCAATGAAGATCCAACAGCCATCTGCTAGTTTTTTATGTCCTTTGAGATGCAAATTAATCCCCGCCCATGGGCACTTCTGCTCCGGGGCAGGGGCAGGAGCCAGCCTAACCCGGGGGTGGTACCCACTGCTCAGGCTCGCAGCACTCCCTGGCCCCCACCAGAACCCCAGGACTACCCAGCCCTGCCCTCTGGGAAGGAGAGTGGGCTATACCCTTTCTCCCCTGCACAACAGGTGCCTCCCTCAGGTCAGTCACCAAGAAGGGGGTTCATGCAGGCCATGGGCAGCAGGTGATGTCACCCCCCCCGACTCCCTGGAGCAGACCTGGGCTCTCAGCCACAGCCGCACCCCGGGACAACCCCGGGCTAGCACGTCCCAGCAGCCCTGCTGCCGCCCCCTCCCGCGGGGCAGAGGGCCCAGAAGAAGACCGGCCAGGAGTGGAGAGTGGCGTCCATCCTCGGCACCTGGGGTTGGAGGCCCCCACTTCCCTGCACCCCCGGACTCTGGACCACCCGCTTACCTCCCAGCATCCTCTTGGGCGGGAGGGCCGGCACCATGCGGTACGGGAACTTCTGCAGCAGCGTCTCGTGGAAGACCACGAAGTCGTTGTACCGCCGGTACACAGACGACTGGAAGCGCTGCAGGGCAAAGGGCGCAGAGCTCGGACCCCTCACCAGGGCCCCACGTCTCACTGCTGCCCCGACCGTCTCTGCTAGCACCGGACAGACCCGGAGAGACAACATCGCTGCCCTCCCCGCCTCCCCTCCCAGGCCTCTACCAACAGGAGAAGCCTGAGCGTCTCAATGTGTGGAAGCAGACGGCAAGCCCTGCGCAGCTCCGACTGCACACTTAGCTGCCCACTGCTTCCGATCTTCTGAAAGACACAAGCCTCTTTTGGAGGTTTCAGTGCCACGGTGGCATCAGTCCGGTCCTAGAAGGGAGCACAGAACCACCCCTGCAGGAGCGTCCCTAACAGGCACTTTCAGACGACACGAACACAGTGGCACACACCTCCTCAAGCGGACCCAAACGCTGAACACGGAGACGTGCAATTCAAACAAACCGCCGACAGATCCCACCCTGAGCCTGCCCCTGATAAGCCTGCGGGCTCCCCAAGACTGGCATCCGGTCCGGAGAGTAACCCCACAGGGTCGAGGACAAAAGCTCACATGAGGACCACGCGTGAGCAGCGATCTCGAATATTACACGTCACACCAGTTACCATCGCTGCGGGGCAGCAGCCAGTCAGGGGAGGCTGCAGGCTGTGACTCCACCGACAGGACACCACGCAAAAGGCAAAACTGAGACGCAGGACCCAGAGGATCCAAGAGCTCGGGGTGCTGAGGGCAGGCTGAGCCGCCGGGGGCCGCGCACTGCGGAGGTCTTCCTGTGAGCCGAGCCCCCACCACCACCACTGCCCCCGCTCGGCGGTACCTGGCTGGAGACCTCATACTCCACGTGCTTCAGGAAGAGGCCCTTCTTCTCGGGGATGAGCTCCACCTGCACCACGTCCCTGGCCAGCAGCTCCTGCAGCGTGAGAGACAGCAGCAGCGGGTTCCCTGGCGGCATCTGCATCCGACCGGCGTCCGGGGCCCTCTGCTCGCCGACCTGGGGCACTGGCGGGTCTGCAGGAGAGAAGGGGAGCACAGCTGCTCAGAGCAGGAGCCCCCACCGCCCCGGCCACTGCCACCACCTGCTGGCTCGGCACGTGGACTCCCACGTCACCCAGCCAAACCCCGCTGTGGCCCAGGTCACATCATCCAGCACGCTCAGGGCATGTCCTCTACGCCATGAATCAGCTTGGACACCCATATCTCTAGGGCCAGCCAAGGCTCGTCTGCAACTTGGCGAAGAGAAAGAAGTGAAATATTTAAAAGTTACGTGCAGGGGGAAAAAAAAAAGCCCTCCTTTTCTCCAGACTCAAGAAAGGGGTTAGCACAAAAGAAACAGGCCAAGTAATTTTCTCCACCATCCTGCCAACACCATCGTTCTAATTCGTGAAAACCTGCACACTTGCTCCAGGAAAGGCCCCTGACCCCGTGACAGCATTAAGCCCTAACCCTTCAGCTTCCTTAGAGACAAGCAGTCCCCACGAACCAGTCACAGAACAACAGAAGGTAAATCAGAGATTTCACATCTAACCTGCAAACAAATGAACAGGGAACCCTGTTTAAAAGTCAGTTTGGTGTTCAGCACAAAGAAGACTTCAGAACTTTAGAGAAGAAAAAAGTCCTTTTCGGTTAAAAAATAAAGTACCCCTCAGGGTGGGGTAAGCCCTACTCCAACTAAATAAATGCAACAAACTGTAGCTCACACCTCTCCATTTTCATAATCTTTTAAGATGTGACTCACTTTCCCTGATTTATTCCTTAAAGTGCAAGATTTCTGGTTTACATTCTAACACAGAACTAATGACTGGACTGTTTTCATGTGTGAAACACTCAGCATTTTAGGATTTTAGACGTAGCTGCTTTTAATTGACCTCAAAGTTTAAGAAACAAACAAAGGCTTAATGTGTATCTGGGAGCCGCGAAGGGCCTCAGAGCGCCGCACAGGAGCTGAACATGACGCGCGCTGCAGCAGGTGCTCCCGGGCGGGCGCGTCCCAGCTCACAAGCACCGCAAGCTGCAGGAGGGAGGCCCAGCAACCCCACCTGTGCTTCCCCTCGCCCTTTACGTCCACATCACAGCAGCCCAACCAGGCAGGAGAGCCGCGCACACACGCCACTCACTGAGCACGTGCGTGCGTGTGCAAGTGCACATGTGTGCACACGAGTGTGTGAGCGTGTGAATATGCATGTGTGGCGTGTATGGGTATCTATGTACACGTGTGCACGTATGTGTGACTGTGTGCACGTGAGGGTGTGCATATGAAGTGTGTCTGGGGGGAGGCACGTCCCCCAACTGAGAGTCCCCAATACCTTAATGGCTAAAAATGCGTAGAGAGCACAGCTCTAGAAGGTACCTGTTCTCCCAAGTCATCCCAGGGTCCCAGCCCCTTTCTGTGTAAAAATATTTTAGTGACCTCAGAACTGTGTTTACAGTCTCCTCCAGGACCACAGGCAAACCGAGGGGCCGACCAGCATCTCTTAGCACTGGTTCCCGGCGATGAGAAAGGCGGGTCCCAGAGCTCGTTAACTCATCGGCTCGGCAAAGAGCTGCGGCGAGTCCAAGTCCAGCTCAGCCAGGAACCTGCGCCGCGGCGACTCCCACTGCGCCCTGAGGGTCAGGACGCGGCGCCAGCCCACGGCCTCCAGGAGGGCAGGGATTCACGTGGCTCTTCCCAGGTGCGTCCTGGTGGCAAGGGGGGAGCCTGGCACGCGGCAGGCGCTCAAGGAACGTTTGCTGAGTGACTATTTCCTGATATTTACTGTATTTTCAGGAGGGAAACACAGCGCACCTCTGGGGGAAAGCAAAATCTTAACTGGAGCGCAGAGTATGTGGAAAAACGGGAAACAATAAAGCTAAAAGGTAATGTGGGAAGAGTTATTTTTGTCAGAGAAGATGCCTGCAGGTCATCCATCTGATGAAGCAACTACACCTGGACTATGCGAAGGACCCCCCCCCAACCCAGTGAGAACACGGACAAATAGCCCAGTCTTACAGTGGGCAGGTGCGGGCACAGAGACTTCCCCAAAGATGTACAAATGGCCGGACGCACGTGAATATACGCCCAGCACCACTGCCTGCCATGGAAGTGCCAGCCGGGCCACCACGCTGCCTCGACCGGAGAAGAAATGACGCTGACTGTCAGCGAGGACACGGAAAACCCTCACGCAGGCTGGTAGGTGTGTGGGTACTGCAGGCGGGCAGCTCCTCAGAACGTCAGAAACAGGGTTAGCATGGGGCCAGCAATCTCGCTCCCAGGCTCACACTCAGGAGAAATAAAAGCACCCACATGGAGACCTGCACACAAATGCCACAGCAGCACCGGCCACAGGAGCCAAAGACAGGAAGAACCCAAATGCCCACCGATGGACGACTGGACACATGAAAGCGCTCTACACACAGTGGAGTAGTATTCAGCCATAAAAAAGGTGTGGCTCCAGCTACAACGCAGACGAGCCTCGCAAACGTGACACTGAATGAAAACAGGTCAGTCATAAAAGACCTCTGTGGGGTGACTTCAGCTGCATGAAACTGTCCAGGAAGGGAAACTGAAGAAGCAGAGCAGGTGAGTGCCTGCTGGGGGGCTGGGAGGGAATGGAGGGGTGGGGGTGGGGAGTGACTGCTGACAAGTAAGGGGGGACGAGAAAACACGCTAAAATTGACTGTGGTGATGGCTGCACAACTCTAAACGTACTACAGACCACTGTATTAGACGTTTTATTCATTTTTATTAATTAATGTATTATATACTTTAAATGAGTAAACTGCCGGGTATATAAAGGATACAAACCCTCCAAATGTAAAATGTAGGTGACATCAGTAAGGACCCCCCAAAACCCTCTCCTCCACAAAAGCAACGAGAACACTGTCAAAAATCGTCAGGATCCACCTTTTCAGAACACTAGAAAGTGGCTCAAAGTTGGTGGCGATGCAGCGTGCTGTCACTGGTACGGGGGCCAGTTAAGTCGCAGGAAGGTCACAGCAGAGCAGGCGGGAGTCCAGTGCGACTGGCCTTCTTAGAAGAGGAGGCCACACGGGACAGGGGCTCACAGACACGCGGGGAGGAGGCCACGCGGAGACAGGGTAGAGGCCGGGGCCGCAGCTGCAGCCCGGGGATGCCGAGGACAGCTGCCCTGCGGGGCGGGCAGGAGGATCCTCCCCTGCAGGCTGCAGAGGGAGCGCGGCCCGCCAACACCCGGACCGCGGACCTCCAGCCTCCGCGAGTGTTGCTTTAAGGCACCCGGTGTGGTGCTTCCTCACGGCAGCCACAGGAAACCACGCTAGAGAAGTCACAGAATTCGTTCAGAAAAGCTGCTCACAAGCAGCAAACAGTGGCAACCCCTGAAGGGGGATCTGATTTCCAGAGGTGCCACAACCAGTTTTCAACAAAGTTTCTAAGACGTGCAAAGAAATAAGAAAGTACATCCAGGGCGGGGAAGGTCTAGCTCAGCGGGAGAGCGCGCTCAGCTGCGCGAGGGCCTGGGTTCAGTCCCCAGCACTCTCACTAAAACCTAAACAGATGAATAAACCTAATTACCTCCCCCCCAAAATATAAAACACTTCAAAAAACAGAGTAAACAATAATGTTCTACTCTACATCGCACAGGGAACTATGCTCAATAGCTTGTAGTAACTTATAACGAAAAGAGTATGAAAAGGAGCGTATGTACACATGCACGGCTCAACCACTGTGCTGCACACCAGAAACTAGTGCAGCACTGAAAATCAACCAGACGTCCATTTTAAAAAATTCACAAAGGATCTGCTTTGAGATTAACAGCCGATGGAGGCCAAAAGGCAGTGGGATGGCATTCCAACTGCCAAAAGGCAAAGAGGGCAACCAAGAATGCTACACCCAGCAAAACCATCCATCCCTCCACAACCAAAGCAAAACCCCTCACCAGCCGGCCTTCCCCAGCGGGAAGGAGCCACGTGAGAAGCAAAGCACATCCGCAAAGGTAACTGCGTTAGTAAACACAGACGGCGGCACGCGTGTACTGTGTACTGGAAACTTTTTCTTTTGAGCTGATTTAAAAGACAGCTTTATAAAGCAATGACTATGTATCTGTTTTGATGGGCATATAATTGGTACAGGTGTAATCTGTATGGTAACAGCCCAGAAGGGGGAGAAAGAGTGAAGTTTTACAGGAGCAAAGTGTTTACCTGTTACTGAAATCAAATAGCATTCATCCAAGCTACACGGTTACGAACGTTGGCCGTAACCCCCAGGGCAATCCCTAACAAGATCACAACGAAAGTGCAGTAACCAAAGCAGTGAGGGCATGTGAACAGTGCACCGGAAAATGCCTACTTAATATTAAAAAAAAGAGGAAAAATAAAAGTAACGGGAGCAAGACCACTGGAGGAGCACCAATCTGGAACCAACAAGGATGCCCGTTCTCCCCACTTCTATTCAGTGTAGTACTGGAAGTCCCAGCCACAGCAGTCAGACAAGAAAAAGAAGTAAGAGGGACCCAAACTGGAAGAGAAGAGGTAAAACTGTCATTATATGCGGATGATACCCTAAAGGCGCCACACAAAAACTGCTAGAGCTGATGAAAGAACTCGGCAAGGTCGCAGGACACAAGATTAACACTGAGAAATCAGAGGCATTTCGTCACACTGACAGACAATGAACTCTCAGGAAAGGAAAGGAAAGGAACATCCCTTTTAAAATTTCATCCAAAAAAATAAAACACTCAGGAATAAATCTGACCAAGGAAGTGAAAGATGACGTAAAGAAAGGGAAGGCACCCACGTTCTCGGGTTAGAGGCGCGCCAAGAGGTCTCTATCAAAAATGTTATGTAAGATTAAAATGAATACACGTGTAATGGGGAACACGTTGAAAACAGCCCCCCAAGGCAGAGTGCGAGCTCAGCGGTGATTCCCAAGTGATCTCGTGTGGCTGAAGAATCCGGACTCCGATCACTGGAGAGCTTGAAAGACTAAACGCGAAAGGCATTTTAAATCAAAGACGCCACTCCCAACCACCTTAACCCCTCTGCAGAAGTTTCAA